CATGACCAAGTTAGACTGTGACTCTCAGAAAGAAATACACTTGACAGAGGGACCCCAGACATGCCCACATGCACACACATGCACACACAAGACAAAAACCAAGATCTCACAAAGTAAAGCTTACCCTTATTACATGGGGTGCACTTTGATGTTTCCTATTCTCTTCTATTTTAATTTTTATTTATTTATTTATATGTTACATAATCTCCATGCCCAACTTGGGGCTTGAACTCACAACCCCAAGATCAAGAGTCACATGCTCTACTGACTGAGCCACCCAGGCGCCCCCTAATTATTTTTCTAGATGGTTACACCCCACTTAATTTATTTCCACACCTACTAATGGATTGCAGCCTGCAATTGGACAGATCGGTGTACGAAGCTATGCTAAGTCTTTAGCACTTAAAAACTTACCAAGCATGACGACGAGCAGGTGCTAAACTTGACTAGAGATCTCAAGAGAAATGAGACATAGGCCCTAGCTTCAGAGATTTTGCATTCTAGGGCAGAAGGGACAGAGAAAGAAATGACTCACGTTATTTGCACCTCTGTAATGTACCAAGCTCTTTGCCAGGCACGTACAAACCTGATGTCACTGACTTTCAGGACAAGTATATGAATTAGGCCAGTGCTTCTCAAATTCGAAGGTGCATGTGAATCACCTGAGGGTCTTGTTACAGTGCACATCCTGTTTCAGTAGGTCTGGAGCAGGGCCCCGAGATGCTGTATATCTCACAACTCCCAGCCAATGCCTTTGCTATTAATCCAGGGATCCTACTTTGAGTGGTAAGGAGTCATTTATTTTTAAGCTGATGATTGAGTTCTTATATACCAGGCATCATGCTCAGCACTCAGGATGTGAATGCAGAGGTCTGTGGTTGCAACTTTGTGCTCACAGCCAAGGAAGTGGGAGCACCTGTGCTCAAGATGCAGGGAATGGAAATAATAGTAGATGGGACCAGGGTGGGGGAAGGGAGCCAGACCAAGGCCAGGCTCCAGGGCCAGTTTCCAGGGCCAGAGGGCAAGGCTCAGGGACAAGTGGGTAATTTTATGGGCAGTTTGGCTGTCATGAAGGGCATGATGTGGTGAGCTGGTAGTCAGGGTAGGCTCACGTTTGTCCCTCAATTCCTTGCAGCCAAGAAGCCTCTGACTCACAGGGCAGGTCATACATCCAACACATGCCCCATGAGGCGGCGCTTCCTGCAGTAGCCTTGGACTCTTCACTGGGTAGCTTCCAAATGGGTCTTTGGGGACAGACTTGGCAAATAGCACAGCGGGTCTGGCCCCCAAAGGGCTCCACAGCCTGTGATCTGTCAATCCGGACACCTGCCCCTCAGCAAGACACTCAGCTTAACAATCAAAGCCACCATGGCTCCGAAATGCTCAAATATTTATTCCACTCACTCTCTGCAATTTGTTTGTGTATGATTTCTAGAGCTGGAGGGTTTCCAACCCCAGGGAACAGCTTAGTTAGACCATTGCTGACTGCAAAAAGATTCAGTGCCCTTCAACAGACACAAATGAAGGCCAGCCTTGTCCCATACCCTGTGGTAGGCATTGGGAGCACAGAAATTTGCAAATGTGATAAAAAGGTCCCGATGTGGTCATCCAAGCTACGTGGCCCCTACTGCTGAAAGGTGTCTCATAGGAAACCACATGGCCAGTAACCATAGGAAATAACACTCAGACTCCATAATGAAGTAAAGTCTAGGACCCGGATGGGTCCATCCTTCAGATAGGCAAAAAGCTAAAAAACAGAAAAGATTTGTTGTTGTAGATGTTATGGTGAAATGGACACCCCCTCATACACTGTTGGGTCGTTTAAGTTGTAACGCTTTTGTGGAGGCAATTTGGAGGTTTCTAGCGAGAGGTGGGATGTGTTCCATGGCCTTTGACCCCGTCATTTCCTTCCAAGAGCCCATCACTGAAGAAAGAGGCAAACGGAGGAAGCGGCATAAAAATCAAGAGGTCTGTGTTCTGAGCACATGTGCCTTGGGACTCCCATTGCAAGTCATGAAGGAATTGATAATCTGGACGTTCTATAGGACAAGAGGGGACAGATCTAAAGAAAGGTTGTTTGCTAACTGTTTTCTCACCCTACTCTTGTGCCTGCCAGGCAGGTACGCCTCTGAAAACCCTGGATTATATCCAGCCTCCACCCTTGAGGGGCTTATAACCCAGTATGGGAGACAAGTGCTTACATAAAAATAATGGACCCGCAGCTGAGTGGGATGCATTCTGTAATGGGGGGACAATACCAGGAGCCAGTGCTTATCAAGGTCCCGCTGTGTGCCAGGCATTCCATTTGCATGATCTCGACTGAGCCTTTCTAAGAACTCCGTGGGCTAAGTGATAGTATTCCCATTTTACTGATATGAAAACAGAGCTATGAAGAACTTAAGTAGCTTGGCCAAAGTCTCACGACTAGCAATTGGCCGAGCAAGTCAAGATTCTGGCTCCAAGTTGGCTGACTCCAAACCCAGCACCCTCCCCATGATAATAGCGCAGTCCTCCCGGGCTTTCTCACAGAGGTGCCCAAATTCAGATAACTTCATGAGCCACCATGAGAAGCCACTGCCCTGGGGGCAGGGCTGTCTCTACTTTATATGTTTAGCCAGGACCCTTAATTGGATTCCGGACTTAATTTGTACATCACTCAGAACACAAAGGCACCCTAAGAGAGCAAACCTTGTGTGTACAGCGGGCACAAGGAATCCCTATTTATTTATTCCTTCAGAATGACGGAAAGAGAGATGACATAGTGGTTAAGCATATAAGCTCTAGACCCAGACCGCCAGGATTTGAATCTCAGCTCCCATTTACTAGCTGGGTGACCTTGGGCATGTTACTTAACCTCTCTGTGCTTCAGTTACCAACAAATACCAAGTTTTGGTGAACTAGATGAATTAATATTTGTAAAGCCCTTAGAACGATGTCTGGCATCGAGGGGATGCTATTTGTTAATGCCTCAGTAGCTGGTGGGAAATTTCATCTTTATTTTCCTATATTTATATAGGAAATAGATTAATTTGGATAAAATTCGACTACATTTATTTAGATAAAAATACATTGATGTTTTGGGATGAGACCACACTGTGCCCTTCCCTCAAAGGTCATGCTCAAATAACGAAACATGCCCCACTAAGATACCTTTCAAAGCGAGGGGTCTTATCCACCAAAGAGCCTCTGTTTTGTTTAGTATCATCATGGATGCTTGGATGTGGATTTGGACAGAGAAGGTGAATTGCTCCTCACACTAAAGGGATAAAGAGTTGAATAGGAATCCAAGCGAAGCCAGACACTCAGGTTGGGTGCTAGATATGAGATGCAGTCAGAGCGTGGGCTCAGTGGTGTCCCAGCTGAGGAACTTGGGAGAACAGAAACACCCACTACAGACAACCAGGGGGAGGACGTGACCAGCTTAATGTGCCCCTCTGCCCTGTGACCCCACAACTCCTCAGTGAAGTTGATCATTTCTCCCACGTTCTTGGTGTGATCAGATCTCTGTAGAAATTGGTGTAGGGCATGGGTTCCGACTCAGGGTCTGGGTGGGGGGAGCACAGAGAGGCTGGGGGAACTGACATCTGGGTCCTAGCCAGGTAAGGTGCTCACTGGTGGCTTGCCATGTGGGAAAGCTGCAGGTCCCCGTGGTGACTGCTATGAGAACATCACATGGTTGGCGCTCACCTGCTGGGGCTGATGAGGTAGCCTCTTGGCCACAGGGATGGGAGCCCCCACTCTGTTCCTGATGTTGCAGCGGTAGCCCTTCACTAGAGGAACTCCTGGGCTGGGTAACTAATTTGCTTAAACTAAGTGAGCAGACACCCAAAATGAGTGTTCCTTTTGCCTTGGGCTGAGTTGAGAATGGGTGCAGGCAGTGGGAAGGAAAACAGGATTGGAAGGAGAAAAAAAAGGAACATATACTCTGTATTCCTGTATAAGCTAAGTTGGGTAACAAAGAGATCCCAAAATATGGTCATTTCTGGTTTGTTTGTTTTTGTTATTTATATTTTATTATGTTTATTGATTTATTATCGCCCGCTTTTGTAAGAGTTCAGAGGTGAGTAGTCTAGGCTGGTGGAGCAACTCTGATCCACACAGTCATTCAGGAAAGAAACTTCCTTCCATTTTGTTCTGTGTAATGGTGTTGCCACACCCAACATTCACCCATGAGAAAAGGAAAGAGGAAAGGTACATGGCAAGAAATTTCCTTTGAAGCAAATAATGCAGAGGTCCCCATGGCAACTGTCCACCAGAGGGCCCCTGGTGCCCTCCAACGACCGCTGACTCAGACCAAAGCCATCCAACTTGTCACAAACTCCCCCATGCATCCCGGCCCATGGTATCCAAGACAATCTCCTATTACTGTCCACTCATAAAACCAGTGACCTGTATCACGAATACCCCAGACAGGGCTCCAGCTTAATTCAGAAGCCTCAAAATTCTCCAGCAGGCATTCCAAGACTTCCAAGGTAACTTGGAAGTCAAAAAGCCTAAGGTAACTTCACAGAAGAGCCAGGACTCCTCCAGGAATCTGGCCAAGCAGCCCCTAGAAAAGCCCCAAGCCCAGCACTTTTGAGCTTAGTGCCTCTTGCCACTTTGACCTCTGCCCCCTCTCACCAAAGTGGCTACAGGATCCAGAGCTCCAGTACCCTTACCCATCCCCAAGGCCACAGCATCGCCATCCCTGAGAACTGCCCAGCTGAGCTCAAGTTGATGGGTCAGTCATGTATACCCAGGAAGAGCCTGAACCTGACCAAGGGTCCTCCCATGCAGCTAGCCTCCCCAGTAGCCAAAAGCCAAAAGGGCAAGACCCAGCATAGGAGTGAGAAGCCCGTTTCTGCATTGGCCTCTTTCTCCTCAACCCAGACCCAGCAGCTCCTGGGAGTGATACTTCCTTTTCAGAATTTGACTCAGCAATGATTTCTCTCTCCTTTTTCTCTCTTTCTCTCACTCTTCCCTACTCCCCCCCCCCCCCCCCCCCCCGCCAACCCCATCAGCCTCTCCTTTGGTCACTCACAGATTCTTCCCACCTTGGAAGGTAAGGCAGAAACTTCTAGTTGCCTATACGACATCAATTCACCCCTTATTCCTTCCAAAAGAATTCTGATAACGCCGGGAGTGACAATATGCCTGGCTAGAAAAACTGTATTTCCCAGACTCCCTTTCAGGGAGAATTCTGGCCAATGAGATATGGAAATAGAAGTTGTTGGATAAGGTTTCTGGGAACGCTCTCTGCAAGGGGGCTGGCTCAGATGATGGTCATGCTTTTGCTCCTATCTCTTCCTTCCTACCACTTGGATGGGAGAGCAGCGGCTGCAGCAACCACTTGTGACCATGAGATGACCTTGACATTGAAAGGCACATGCTAATGATGGTGGGGCAGAAAGCCAGAGGAACTTGGATCTCTGCTGACAATGCCGAGCTGTCTTTCTGACTCTGGACACCTGCCTCCAGATTTTTTTTCATGTGAGAGACAATGCTTTATCTTTATAAAGCACCATTAATTGGATTCTCAAGCAGGGACAATTTTGTCTCCGAGGGGACATTGGGCGATGTCTGGAGATACATTACTCGGTTTGTCACAACGTGGAGGAGGAGTACTCCTGGCATCTAGTGGGTAGAGGCCAGGGACATTGCTAATCACCCTATAACATACAGGATAGCCCTCCTTCCGCGCCCCGCCCCCACAACACACAGAATTATCTGGCTCAAAATGTCAATGGCGCCAAGGCTGGGAACCAAGCTCTGTAGGTACAGAAGCCCAATTTTTAGCTGGGCACAGGGCTGCCTGGAATCATGACCGCGTGTGACCAAGATCTGGCCAATGCAATATGAGTGACTTCTGTATCATGCCTTTAAAGGAAGAAGTGTGCTGGGAGGACCCCACACCCCCTATGATGTCACAGAATGAGCCCCCACACTAGCTGGGATTTTTGCCTGAGAGAGAAAGGCAAACTTTCATCTTGTTAGAGCTGAAATTATTTTGAGTTTTGGTTACAGCTGTCAAACCCTTGTGCCAACCAGCACAAGGTAATGTCTCCCTCACTCTTGTACATTCAGAGAACTTCTGGTCTCTGGCTGAAGCCCTCTGGAGCGGCTGAATATCTGCTTTGTTTTGCTAGCAGACCCTGAAGGATGGGAAAGCGCTTTTTAACGGCAATGGCGTCACCACCCCATGGCATTTGCTCTGTTAGCTTATGCCCACAAGTCATCTCTATTCGAGGACGTCAGTTCATCACATTCCCAGACTTTGACTCAGCTCCATTAAGTCTTTGCTTACAGGGCCTCTAGTGGTCTCTTTAGGCACAGAAACAATCTCCAGAATACAGAACAGGTGCACATTTCTGGAATTTTAATCTGTCATCCCAGGGAGACTGAAATGAAGGAGTAGGTGCCCAGCCTCTGCTGATGGGTTTGCTGTCCCGGCTGAGCACATCTCGGTTCCCTTGTTCTCTCATCAAGCTTTGACAGGAGGCTGCGGCTGATCACCCGGATGCCATTATGATCCCCATGGAGCCATGTCACCCACCCTGTTTCTCGCAGTCCGGGGGCCATGTGGCACATGTCTGGGACACATTGAACACAATCAGAGGGGCAGTGGAAAAAAAGACTGGCCTGGATATTAAGATTATGTGGTTTCTTACTCCCAAACCTGCCTTCAACTAGCTGCGTGATTCTTTCTGTTTGCAAGTGGCAACACGTCAAAGGACTTTAGGAGAAGAACAGGGAATTTATTGGCTCCTGTGACTAAGTCCAAAATCAAGGTATGGCTGGATCCAGGGACAATATTCACTGTGTTTCTGTATCTTGGACACTTGTTTCTTTACCATCTGCACGGCATGCATATGCTGGACACACCTTGTTCTAGACAACCCGATAATATGCCTCAGTTCCGAGTCACCTTGCTTGGCCTGCTGCTTCCTTTGTCACCCTCACTCCTCAGGAGAACTTCTCCAGATGTGCTTTTCAGGTACAAACCGCCCATCCAGAGTCTACACCCCTCATCCCCTCCTTTATCAGGCTCTCACCCCCCGGGCCACCATACACCTGCTCTAATCACCCCAGGACCAGGTAACAAACAATCAGGGACAGCCCCAATGCCCCAGAGTCCATTGAAATTATTCAAACCTGCCTCACCTGTTCCTTCCCACAGAAACCACAATAAAGACTTTTTTTTTTTTTAAAGATTTTATTTATTTATTTGACAGAGAGAGACACAGCAAGAGAGGGAACACAAGCAGGGGGAGTGGGAGAGGGAGAAGCAGGCTTCCCGCCGAGCGGGGAGCCCGATGCGGGGCTCGATCCCAGGACCCTGGGATCATGACCTGAGCCAAAGGCAGACGCTTAACGACTGAGCCACCCAGGCGCCCCCACAATAAAGACTCTTAACCGGGCACCTGGGTGGCTCAGTCGATTAAGCGTCTGCCTTCTGCTCAGTTCTTAATCCCAGGGTTTTGGGATTGAGCCCCAGGTCTGGCTCCCTGATCCGTGGGGAGCCTTCTTCTCCCTCTTTCTCTGCCTGCTGCTCCCCTTGCTTGTGTTCACATGCTTTCTCTCTCTGTGTCAAATAAATAAATAAAATATTTTTTAAAAATTAAGCCTCTTACCCACAGACCCTCCTCCCAGCCCTGCCTGGTGACTGCCCCTTGCATGCTGTCCCCCAGCATGTGACATGTACTGTCTCTCTCAAGATCTGTGAGCATAACAAGTTATCTTTTTAATGGCAATCATCTCATCTGTTGATGTTGCCACACCTAAATAATAATAAAGCCTCTAAAACAGGGATGCAGACAGTGTCATCAGGAAGTCTCTCTCTCTCTCTCTCTCAGCGCTGTTTTCCTTGGAACTGGCTTCATTCATAGACAAGCTTCCACTAAGAGGTGACAGAGGTCGGCTGGCAGTCCCACTGCCCTTCATGGAGTTCAGTGGCCCCCATGGAAGGAGGGCTTCTCTTCCCACCAGTAGTCTTATACTTGATTTCTGTGAGCCTTTGAGTGACACGCTAAGATTTGATCACCAACTACAGTTCTGGCCAATTCTGACACTGTCACCTGGAGATAGCATCAGATCCCACAGTTGTAGGGTTCAGTCCTGCAAGACTGACCCCCACCCCCCACCTGGCTTCAGATGCCAATTGCAAGTCCAGGTTATCAACTGTACTTCTGACCAATCAGCCATAAATTGCAGGTTTCCATGACCCCCTCCGTGGGTTTGATGAATTTGCTACAGATACTCACTGAATTCAGGAAAACGTGTATTTACTAGATCGCTGGTTTATGATAAAAGGCTATAATTCAGGAACAGCCAGATGAAAGAGATGCCTAGGGTAAGGTATGTAGGAAGGGGCGTGGAGCTTCCATGCTCTCTGAGTGGCCCCTCCAGCCCTTCTCTCCCCAAATCTCCACATGTTCACCAACCTGGAAGCTCTCTGAAACCCATCCTTTTAGGTTTGTATGGAAGCTTCGTTACATAGGCAGGATTGATGAAATCATTGGCCTTGGTCATTGAGCTCAGTCCCCAGACTGTCTCTCCCCTCCCCAGAGATGGGGGTGGGAGAGGTATGGGACTGAAAGTTCCAACCCTCTCTCTATTCACAAGATTAGCTCCATTGACAGCCTGCCCCCATCCTTAGATGATTAGCATAACAATTGATCCCATCACTGGAAAGTCTAAGGGTTTTAGGAGCTATGAGCCAGGAGCCTGTGGATGAAGAACAAATATTTATTTCTTATTATAAATCACAATATCACAAATGCCCATCCTTGAACCAATCCCTGTGGTCAGACAGATGGGGTACTCTGTATGATATAGCTCCCCTGGAGCTGGGGGGTGGGAGGGATCTATCCCACCCAAGCCATGGACTGAGAGTGGGAAGGCTGCTTCCCAGAACAAAAAGAAGGTATAGGACAAGAGAAACCCCTGAGTGGTCCCTACCTTAGTTTGGGTTCTCTAGAAGCAGATCCCAGAAACAAGAATTTGATGTAAGTAGCTTATTTGCGAGATGACCCCAGGAAGCACCAGCAGGGCATGGGGAAGTGAGACAGGGCAGGGAAGGAAGCCAATACAGGGTGCATTCGTGAGTGGGTTACTGCTTAGGGCAGTTGGGACCCAATCCAGCTGGGGGCCTCCGGGAGACTGTATAAAACTCATCTAAGGGGCGAGGGAGTTGGGGCATTTATCCACCAGCCTCTATCTGTCACTGCTTGAAGCTGCTTAGCTGGAGTGATTCGTGAACAGATTCTTGGGGCCACCAAGTGGCCCAGACAGAAAATCACAGGTGCATGGCAGTAAGAAGCTGTGGGTCTATACAGAATGATGAGAGCCCAGGGCCCCACCAGCATCTGCTACAGTCAGAGGTAAGACATTTCCTCATGCAGCACCTCCTAAAGCATTCTCATTTGTGAAATGAGAAGTTAGACTAGAGGCTCTCTTATCTCCCTCTCCAAGGGGAATCCTAAAGCTTCCTCTCTGGGTTGAGGCACTGTAAGATGGCGGCTGAGCGTTCAGGCTCTGAGGTGGGATTACCTGGTGGCTCAGCCAGAAAAACATAGGGCACCTGCTACAGTGTTTATTTTAAAAGAGTTTAACGAGGAGCTAGACTAGCAGAAGCAGGGAGCTGGACCACCCCGGTCGGTACAGGAAGAGAGGATGTGTCCCCAGAGCCAGAGGAGAGCCAGGATGGGGGAGGAAGGGCCACTAGACAGAGCCATGGCCGAGCAGAACTACAGCCAGGAGGGGGGCGGGGGCAGGAAGGTGAGAAACAGCCAGATCTCTTCCTGTCCTCCAAGCCTCCCCCTGGCTGACCCCAACTGGAAACCAGAGAACAAGGGAATAGGTCATGGAGGTCAGAGTGCCTTAGCACAGTGGGGCAGAGAAGGGCAGCCATTGAATCTAAGGGGACAAATGGAGAAAAATCTGCCCACTTGGATTCAACACCCAGTTCCTCTATTGACTAGCTGTGCAACTTCGGGCCAGTTGCTTTGCCTGTCTGTGCCTCAGTTTCCTCACCTATAGATTGATATCAGTATTAGTATCTACCTCCTAGGGTTGTTGTGAAGATTAACACCTATTGGGGCGCCTGGGTGGCTCCGTCGGTTAAGGGTCCTACTCTTGGTTTCGGCTCAGGTCATGATCTCAGGGTCATGGGATCGAGCCCCGTGTCAGGCTCCGTGCTCAGTGAGGAGTCCGCTTGGCAATTCTCTCCCTCTGCCCCTCCCCCCACTCATGAGCGCGCATGCTCTCTCTCTCTCTCAAATAAATAAATCTTAAAAAAAAAAAAAAAGATTAACACCCATAAAAGCACTTAAAACAGTGCCAGGCATTTTGTAAATGATCAACAAATATTAGCCATTATTAATATTATCATATAATTATATCATTTATCATAAATATTATCCTGTCAGCTATTAGCATGTGATAGCCCTGTGCTAAGTGCTAAATTGCTGTGAAGTTAAAATGTGATAAGATATGAAGAGATTTGAAAATTCGAGTGAACTCGAATGCTAAAGAGTATTATTATTTAGCCTAAAAAGATTTAATGAAGAAAGAGACTGCAAGCAGAGAGAAAAGAAAAAAGAAAGGGAACAGGGGTGGGGTGGGGAGAGCTCTTGATTTTCCTTTCTCTGGGACATTCCTTCTACCTCCTGCAAAATACCATCTCCTGTCTGTACTTCACCAAGAGCAGATGTTAAAGGAGCAAAATACGCTCTTCACTGTAGATAAATCAAGATAGATCTTTCCAGATGAATAGATAGTTATCTCTGGGAAGTGACTGAGAGGAGTCTGGCTCTCATGAAGTTCTACTGAAAGCTTTTCAGACCGTGGGATCCCTTCCGTGTTATTACGGAGAGAGCGAGACTGGGTGGAGGGGGGGGGGGTTGGGGATCATTCCCCCTTCCCTGAATGCTTGCTAAGGACCAGGCACTGTGCTGAACACATACAAGTATTAACTCATTAATCCTTCCTGCAAGGTGTTAATAGATCCCCCATTTTACAGATGAGAACACCAAGGCTCAGAGGGCTCTAGGAATTTTCCCAGATCACACAGCTGGTGCGTGGCTGGAACTCCAAAGCTCATGCTCTTTCCGGGATGCCTGGATCTAATTCCAGCTCAACCATGAACTTACTCTGTAAATTTATTCCTCTGTAATCTCAGGGAAGGCACTCCCCTCTCCGTGCAAACGGTAGAGTGATGGAGCCGGTCTAGGTGGTTATCTCTCCTTCCAGCTCCAAGTTCAAGGGAGGGGCCACAGTGTAAGTTCCACTGAAGCTCTTACCCAAGTAGAACCAAACCATAGCATGAACACCGTGTGGCAGGATTTCTCACAGCCAGCTTGCTTTATATCGGCCCTGTTATTTAAAAAATAATAAAAATAAAAATAAAAAAGTTTGCAAAGTAAAAGTGTCAACTGGAACGGAAAACAATCCGAATGTCTATTAACTGTAGAATGGGTAAGTAGCTTAATACCGTATGGCTCTGGGTCTCCCCTGGCTGAGTCAAGGTGCCAGCTGGGGCGAGATCTCCCCTGAGGCTGGGGTCCTCTTCCAGATTTCACTGGTTGTTGACTGAGCTCAGTTCCTCCCCGCTGTGGGACTGAGGTCTCGGCTCCTGGGGGCTTCCCACTGTTCCCTGCCACAGGGCCCTCTCCACACACGGCTGTTTGCTTCTTCAAGGCCGACTGGAGAGCAGCGAGGAGGCTTTGAATTTCTTCATTTCTTCCGTCTCTGACCTCTAGACCCAGATTCTAAGGGTTCGTGTGATTAAATCAGGCTCACTCAGGATAATCTCTCTTTTGGTAAACTGAACCTATTAGAGACCTTAATTACATCTGCAACATCCTTTGACTTGGCCGAATAATGTAACCTTATCAGCAGAGTGGTGCCTCACCAGATTCCCACATCCCACCCACACTCTGGGCGGGGACTGTACAGGGAGTGGACCCCGGTGCGCCATCTTGGACTCCTGCCTGCCACACTGAGCAGTTACTACGTACCAGGCTCTCTACTAACAGCTTTATATGGACTCCTTTAATCTTCCCACCAGCCCTACAGAGCAGGGGCTCTTACTGTCCCTGTTGTACTGATGAGCAAGGTGAGGCCCCAAGGAGGTGAGTGACTGTGGAGACATAGCTAGTGAGTGGCAGAGCCAGGGTTTGGACCCCCCGTCTCTCTCTCTCTCTTTCTCTGTGTCTCTCTCGTCTTTCTTACACTTACACGCACACACACACACAACACCTCCTCCGGTCCTTTCCTTCTCCACCCTTTTGGTGAATGTTTGCCTTCAGAGAGTCCTTTTGAAGGGTCCAAGGGGATGGGAATGTTTGAAGAAAGGAAGAGACAGGGAGCAACCTTGGGGATTGGTGTGATGACTGAGCCCTTACTGTGTGCTCTGCTAAGCTCTGCTCTTCACATCCGAGATCTCACTCATCCTCCCAGCAACCCCAGTTGCTATTATCATTTCTGCTTGACTGACAAGGAGATGGGGGCTCAGAGAGGTTGAGCTCCTTGCCAAAGTCACACAGTAAGCAACCAGGATGGAGGCCTGCTGACATGAGTCCAACCAACTGCTAGCTTTCCCCTGTACCCCAGGGCCTCTCCTCAGAGCCCTCTGGCTTCTCTACCATCTCGTAGTGAGCTGCCAAGGGAGCCCTGCTGCCCAAAACCTCAGCTCACCTAGAAGGGAAACCAAGAAGCAAACAGAAGGCCCTGGCTCTCCCTGCCTCCCAGCCTCCCAGCCTCCCAGCCTCCCAGCAGCCTTGCCCTGCTTTGCATTCATGACAACATCAATCTTGTTCAAACCCCAGAGCCCATGGGCCCCACCACGCTGGCAGCCTCTGAGTCACTGCACACCGGCAGACGGTGCTAAACTAATTTCCCAGCATCTTTGGGAAGGATTTGGTTTCTGTCTCCCCAGCTAAGGCCCATGCAGACAGTGGCAGGAGGCAGGCAGGACCCAGGGGGTTCCTTCCTGGTCTGGGAGAGCCCAGATTGAGATGTGATAAGATCCTGATTAGGCAAAGTGGCTGGGGCTGGGAGAGAGTCCAGAGGGTCCAAGCTGAACTGAGGGATGGGACAGTAGGTGCCGAGTCACAGGGATGGTGCTAAAACATCCCTGGAAATGCAACCGCATAGAGAAAATTGTCATTACCTTTTACAGTGACTTCTTGTGTATAAAGATGACTTTGTTATAACCCTACAAGGTAGGTACAATTTATTGTTGCCATTTTACAGATGAGGAAGCTGAGGCACAGAGCTCCAGTAACTTGCTCAAGGTCACAAACCTAGTAGGTGATAGAGCCAGATTTTTAACCCTGACCACCTGACTCAACAGGACACCACGTCATTTGCCCATCCGGGTGCCCATGCATCTGGGTTGGTCCAACCCAGAAGATAAGACAGTAAGTCAGTTAACTTCTTTTGCTCTCCGGAATTGGTTTTGTTTTTTTAAAGTTTTGTTTTTTTTTTTTAATTGACAGAGACAGCGTGAGAGGGAACACAAGCAGGGGGAGTGGGAGAGGGAGAAGCAGGCTTCCGGCCAAGAAGGGAGCCCGATGCGGGTTGGATCCCAGCACACTGGGATCATGACCAGAGCCAAAGGCAGAGCTTAAAGACTGAGCCACCCAGGCGCCCCTGGAATTGGTTTTGAATTGGTCCCCAAGTGGGTAGTAATGCTAGGCTTCAAACCAAGTCCACCCATTTTCTGGCTTCCCTTACAGGGCTCAAGGTGCTACTCCCCACTTGCTAATTCCGTCGCCAGAGGCAGCATAGAGTAACAAAAAGCCAGAGTAGAGGAGCCAAGTTCAAATACTGGTTTTGCCACTGCCTATGATCTTGGGCACTTCTCTCTCTGTCTACACACACACACACACACACACACACACACACACACACACACGTATGTATAAAGGCACACAGTGAGGGGCGCCTGGGTGGCTCAGTCGGTTAAGCGTCTGCCTTCGGCTCAGGTCCCGATCCCAGGGTCCTGGGATCAAGCCCCGGATCGGGCTCCTTGCTCGGCAGGGAGTCTGCTTCTCCCTCTCCCTCTACCCCTCTCCCCTTGCTTGTGCTTCTCTCTCTCTCTCAAATAAAATCTTTTTAAAAAATACAATTGTAGTAGCAGAGAGGCTGCATGTCCATTTCAACCTTGACCTTGGCTTTGGCAGATGGAAATTAAGATTCTGCCAAATGAACTATTTTTTTTTAAAGATTTTATTTATTTATTTGAGAGAGAGAGAATGAGAGAGAGCACATGAGAGGGGGGAGGGTCAGAGGGAGAAGCAGACTCCCTGCCGAGCAGGGACTCCAGGATCATGACCTGAGCCCAAGGCAGTCGCCTAACCAACTGAGCCACCCAGGCGCCCTAAATGAACTACTTTTAACCAAATCCTATTACAACAAAGCAATTAGTAATACAGTGGATATTTTGAGTACAATTCAGTGGCGTTTAGTATAAAATGGCAAATTCTATGCTGTGTGATTTACCACAATAGAAAAGTATTCATTTGTTCATCCTAACGGTGTCACAAAGTCTGAGCTGTTTTGGACAGATGATACGTGATCTGGGAGTTTCATATTATTATTTTATTCAAAGGATATTGCTGTCCATACAGAGATATTTGAACAAGCGGAAGAGAGCAGTTTTCCCAGCCTGCAGTCTTGTGAACGTGCCCTACTGACTGAGAGCGGAGCTGTGAGTAAATACGGCGAGCGAGCTCAGCTCTGCTCAGAACCAGGGCAAACCAAAAACGGTGACTGATCGTTCATAAGCCCCACCCAAGCACCATCAGTGACCTCTGTCAGAGCCGTGGGAGTGGCCCTTTAGAAGCAGCCTGAATACATTCTCGAAATGATTTCTCCACGGTTCATGATGCATCATAAATTTATAAAGTTAGACACGCCTCCTCCAAAATGTCAGGCTGGAAAGAATACGACAGGCACCAGCATTTTAAAACCCAGTTATCCCAAACGACCAAAATAAAGGCTTTGGAAGAATGCCACTTATCCTATTTGCCTTCTCTCCAGGTCAAGAACTGCCGTATGGCTTTTGGAACTGAAAAACCTCAAAGCCTCCGGTATTAGAAAGGTGGCCGCTGCAGGTGAAAGCCAGGCGCCCTCTGTTCATCTTACTTGGCATCATGATATTTTGGCCAGGCTTCTGAGTGACTGCTCAGAAAGGCACTGGCAGTCCATGGGTCTGGGCATTCATGTGGTAGCAGGTGGGGATCAAACGTGCCCACTGGCGCCACCTGACACTCCCAAAGCCCTTGCGGGAGCACATATGGCTTGCAGGTGCTTTGAACGTGATGTTGGGTTTCAGCATAAAAGCTGGAGTCAAGATCCGCACGGGAGAATCTTAACATTTGTTTAATTTTTTTTTTTTTTAAAGCTTATAGAGAGCAAAGAACTGTGTCTGTGATTGCCTGAGATTTTGTTTAGATTTCATTTTCAGAGCCAACCAAAGATTTTATTCCTTCCACTTGGAGAAGGCCAAATCCCAGCTGAGCCCTGTTGATCCTTATCTAGCTTCTGGATCACATCCTCTTTGGATAATTGGCATCAGTGAGCTCAACTTCCAGCCTTCCTCCTAGGAAAGTGGGAGCCCATCACAGAAATATGTAGCCGTATTTGTACTTTCTTGATTCTGTAGGGAATGCAGGCAGGCTTCTCCATGAGACATAGATCTTGGCCTGATCGGGTCACCCCATCTCGAGTCCAGTTCTCAACATCACTGGGAACAGCAGGGTTCCCCAGGAGCAAAGAAGCTATATTTTCAAATGGAACCCAACAGATCTGCAGTTAGAAGTAACTTGAGATGTATTATTTTAACCTTACCACTGGTAACTCCAACCTATATACAACCAAGTCTTCTGGGATCAATCCTTCCTTTAATAATAGTGTCAGCTACAATGCTTTCAGCTGGAAGCATTAAAGCTTGCAGAAAACCCAGTTTAACTGGCTTAAGCAATGATAAATGTACAATCTCATATAATAGGATGAAATAATAAATAAGGCAAGAATGCTTATTCTCACCACTTCTTTTTAACATTGTACTGGCAGTTCTTGCCATTGCAATAAAGCAAGAAAAAGAAATAAAGGAATAAAGATCAGAAGGGAAGAAGTAAAACAGTCTCTATTTGTAGATGATACAATTATTGACATAGAAGAGCCTAAAGAATCCACACAACCACCACTAGAACAAATGAGTTTAACAAGGTTGCAGAATAGGATCAGTATACAAAACAATCATATAGGAAGGTGCCTGAGGGGGAGGGATGTCCCTAATTGTTCAACAATATCATCAGGTACCTAAGTTCTTTAGAGCTTTCCACATTGCCAAATATAATGTTGTTTCTTATGGGTGCACGGTGACTGACACAGGTCCAAAAATCACATCTCCACGAAGCAACATCCAAAGGTCAGAGCAAGAAAAGAGGACATACTTCCTCCTTGTGTCCATTTATAAGATGTGGAAACTTTCACAGAGCCCCCCCCCCCCCAGGCTTTCCTTCATTGGCCAGAATGGTATCACATGCCAATTTATGAACCAGTCACTGGCCAAGGAAGCAGAATTACTAAGATTGGCTTGAAATATTCAGGATTTACCCTCCCCATTCAGTGGGGCTGGGGAAGTAATTCTTTAAAGCTCATGACCACAGAATATCTGAACAAAACCAGAATATGGTTGATAGATAAGCAACTAACAGTATCTGCCATGATACCCTATACACAATTTGCCATGATATCCTACACACAATTTCCAGTAATCAAACCATTGGGAGACCGCAAGCTGGTCATGAATAAGATCTTAGCTTCTGTCAGCATGGATGTCTGCTGCCTCTGGATAGCCTCCAGAACCATGGCTTTCAATGCAACCAGCAAAATCCCTTCAGCTCCTTATTTGTATATTCCTGAATGATTAAAAAAACAAATTTCTGTTGGGTGCCTGCATGGTTCAGTTGGTTAAGCTATTAAGCATCTGCCTTCCACTCAGGTCATGATCCCAGGATCCTGGGATTGAGTGCTGCATCGGATTCCCTGCTCAGCGGGGAGTCTGCTTCTCCCTCTGCCCCTTCCACCTCCCCTCCCCCCTTATGTTCTCTCTCTCTTGCATGCATGCACACAAAAATAAACAAATAAAATCTTTAAAAAACAAAAAAACCCTTCTGTTTAAAAAAAAAACCAAAACTGGGGCACCTGGGTGGCTCAGTTGGTTAAGTGTCTGCCTTCGACTCAGGTCATGATCCCCGGGTGCTGGGATCAAGCCCCATGTTAAGCTCCCCGCTCAGTGGGGAGTCTGATTCTTCTTCTCCCTCTGCCCCTCCCCCTGCTCATTCTTGCTCTCTCCTTCTCTAATAAATAAATAAAATCTTAAAAAAAAAAAACTTCTGTTTATAAGTACTTTTTTTTTAAAGATTTTATTTATTTGAGAGAGAGAGAATGAGAGAGAGCAAGCACATGAGAGGGGGGAGGGTCAGAGGGAGAAGCAGGCTCCCTGCCGAGCAGGGAGCCCGATGCGGGACTCGATCCAGGGACTCCAGGATCATGACCTGAGCCGAAGGCAGTCGCTTAACCAACTGAGCCACCCAGGCGCCCTATAAGTACATTTTTAACTTTTCAAGGCAATTTCCCATCCTTTATATCATTCTCTCCACAGAACCAACTTCAGAAGCCCCAAGGGATTGAATAATGTCCCTAAAGTCACCAGGAACAGAGAAACCATGGTGTATCGATGGCCTCTTAATGCCCCAGAATGTGCACTAGGCATTCTACATGCATTGTCTCATCTAATTCTGACTACAACCCAACAAGGTAGATTTTAGTACTATTCCCATTTTGTAAAGGAGTACTGAGGCACAGAGAAGTTACGTAACTTGTCTATGGTCACACAGCTAGTGAATAGAAGACCCAGGATAGACCTCAGGTCTATCTGACCCCCAGTGCCATGCTCTTTAACCTCTAAATTCGATTTTTAAATCATCTTGTCCCAAATACCTATGCTTAGCTTGACTTATTTAGAGGTTAACTCATCTAATATTTCCCTTGATGTTTCTATCCATGTCAGCACATGGATATAATAGTCTTGGAAGGCAGAAACAATGGAATGGGGGAAAGGGAGACTATCTTTCATTTCTTTGATCTGGCAACTCTTCCTCTCACAAACTCTCCCTTTTCCCAGCCCCCCACCCTTACCCAGCCACCACCCCCACCCTGCCACCACCCCACAACCTGCAATTCACTCTTAGCCCTCCCATATCCACCCATCCTACACAGTCTTGGTCCTATACTAGTTGCCCTCCAACTTGTCTTCCACTCACAGGGAATAAATTCTAGGCCTCCCTAAATTTTCTTTTTTCCAACCACATGTCACACCTTTAACCCAGTTCTTGGTGCTCTTTTTCTGGTCCAGCACTCTGGGAACCTGGTTGCGTGTGGGCAAGGATCCTGCTCAGTCAGGTCTGCCAAACCCCTAAGATCCCAGTTCCAATAAGAATTCCCTCCCTGTCAGAGTGGAAAAGTCAGCTGTATTATATCCCATTCTTGCACATTCCCTGCTTAAACCTTTAGCCTGGGGCTCTGACCGTCCAGCACATCTATGAAAGAAGGCAGAAGGGGGTGCAGTTTTCAGATAACGAAAGATTGCCCAGTCAAAATGTCTCTCCCTCTCCCCATGGGAAACCTTAGTGCCTCCCTCCTCCTTTTTGAACTCCTCTCCCATCCCTGACTCTCCCTTAGCCAGTCATACATAACCATCCCCACACCCCCAAGCAGACCAGAGGCCAGGCCCCTGTAGCACCCACTTTTTACAGAACACTTCCTATCCTCAATTTCATTTAAAAAGATAATATAAAAATATCATTCCACGTGACCATCTCCTATCTCTCCAAGTATAATTTGAATTTAATTTTTCAAGGAGATGAGGAGGAACTCTC